AGATATTGAATTCAAATGCATACATCTGTTTCCTTGCCCTCCTGTGGTTTAGGTAAGTGTACATTGTTTAACCTATCTTATAGTTCACAGAAACATTACAATAATTAACGTGTCAGATTTATTCCGTATTTCACATTTAAGGTTACTACAAAACATCACTTTATTCTCTGCAGACATGTTGTCAACAGGTTCCATCAGGGGCACATTATCGGTCACGTTTTTCCTATTATTGTGTTGTTTTCTCGGCGGTTTGTTAACTTATCCCAAGTTACGCGTGTGTGTTTCATGCAGAGAGCTGCACTGAGAAACCGGCTGCTGTGAAGGAGAAACCGCCTCTGGAATTGGGCGGGGCAGAGCGCAAGACCCTGCAGGAACTGGCACGAGTGCCGGACGTTACTGCCGCTCGCCCAGCCCCAAGGGGCGCCCACGTCGTGTGCAGCCAGCCTGGGCCCAGCTCCCCCCGCCTTGACTCCATGTTTGACTGGCCTGACTCGCTGACGGTATGGCTCGCCCTGCATCTCGGGCTGGGGTGGTGCGGTGGGGTCAGGCAGTGGGGTCAGGCGGTGGGGTCAGGTGGTGGGGTTAGGCGGTGGGGTCACATGGTGGGGTCATTGTGGGGTCGCGTCATGGGGTCACATGGTGGGGTCGCATCATGGGGTCACACGGGGTCGTGGTGGGATTGCTTGGTGGAGTCGTGGGGTCGCACGGTGGGGTCGAGTTGCACGGTGGGTCGTTTGGTGAGGTTGTAGTGAAGTCGTGGGGTCGCACGATGGGGTCACGTGGTGGGGTCATGTGGTATAGTCGTACGATGGGGTCACGTGGGGTCACGTTGTGGGGTCACGTCGTGGGGTCAAGTCCTGGGGTCACATCGTGGGATCACGTTGCGGAGTAGCATGGTGTGGTCAGGCAGTGGGGTCCTCGTGAGGTCTCGAGTGGTTGGGTGACATGGCAACGTCGCATGCCTCTGTGGTAATGTCATCAACTGCGTAGACTTTTTCGTAGCAAATTAAACTGTTGAGTAAACATCTGATGCTATTTCAATCAAACTTTTTTTTTTCAATTCTTATAAAAATACACATTATTATGAGATACAGCCATAATTACCACAGCAGCAAGCACAATGGGGTGTGTAGAGGAGCGAACCAGTGTTTGGGTATAATGGCGTGTGGGGGGGGTACGATAGGGGGTGTGAAGGTATTATAGGGAATATGCTGACCTTTTAGTCTGCTGTTAATGAGCTAAAAGCTCAATTTTCCCATTGAGGATAACATTTCTCCTTCAAGCATCAACTTTATATTTGTTTAATCAGGCGAGGATTCAAGAGGCAAGGACAGTCTCATTTCCAAGAATGACCTGCATAACCTGGATCATTAAGAGAGCATTAATAAAGCACGTACAGTGAATATCCATTGCCCATAATGAGAGTCTGTTATTGGTAGCATGGGAACATTTATGAAATCTTTTTGAGCTGAAACACCACAGTCATATTATCCTGCACTACACGTTAAGAGTTATTTGTTAGCAAAGCATGGTTGCTGTAATTTAAACATAGCCACCTTTACATTATAAATATAGAGCAATAGACTAAAACGTAATGCCCAGTATGTAGTATTGCATAGTCTGTGCACGTTTGTCCAGGGTTGCTATGCTCGTGGTTTGATTAAAATCTGCCTAATAGGGCTTCGGGGATGAAGACGATGCCATGAAGTTGTCATGCTCTCCGCCACTTTCCCCGCTGTCACGACACCTGCAATACCTGGACTTTGAGAGCCTGGCCGCAGAGCCCCCACTCAGCTCCAGGTCAGAGTCCACAGCGCACTGCCTCACTGACACTTGAAAGATCACTACTCTCGTGTAAAGAGGAACCTGGGTATGCCCACGTTGCATAATGAAACACATTTGCTGCTTTAAAAAAATATGACTTGGTAATGGTGAAATTTACGATATTTTGAATCCAACATATGACTTGTATGTTGAACCTTCGATTTATATACGATCTGTCGCTCACGTGGTTTGCACCATCTGCCATGATCTATTCTCTGCTGGATGACGGTCTCCCCAACCTCTCGCTATATGACGTTAGCATGGAGCACTGAACATGTTAGCCCATCTGATGTCCGTTTCTCTTGAACGTCATTTTGATTTCGGTGTGTATGTGGTTTTTCTTCCGTATGTGGACGACGCGTCTCAGGGCTGAGCACAAGGAGTGTCCACAGTGTGGCATGGTGTTTCCTCCGGCATACGACCACAGTCTGTTTGAGAAGCACGTGAGCAAGCATTAGGCGGTGATGAACGGAGAGCACGTACTGCACCTTGACTCGCACAGACCTCGGCTGACAGTCAGCCGCCTGAGTTCACTCCTCACGCTGACTACAAACTGAGGCTGAAGCTGTTTTTAATCGTTCCTTCATGTCACCATTGCTAAATGGGCAACGATATTTTAATCACACTTGTAACCGTTTTTTTGTTTTACTGTTTGGGGGAAAAATAATTACCTATAAAAGTCATATTTAACAAAGAAATTGCGTGTTATTTTATTTGACAAAAGCAATACTGTAGTACCTTTATGCACAACTAGCTGTAGACTTTTCAGCGACAGTTTTTTCTCGAATCTGATCTTGAGGAGATGCCTTGTTTGGTTGTGTTAGTCATGTACTCTCTAGTGGCGTGGTCGTCCCGAGCATGACGATACATTTCATTTGAGGTAACGCTTGATTTGTCCCCAACACCACCACCTTGGTCGTCCACTGGTAATCAACAGTGGTTGGGGCTGCTTGTTTTCGGAAGGAGTAAACTCATAACGCTTAAGAGAAACGTTCTGTATTTTAAGTGAAGCTGCTCTTAAATTGGCGTGGTGCATTTTTTGTGCATGGCTATGCTAATAATGTCACATTTGCTTACTGCCCACTTACATAACTATATTGAATGCTGTAGTTAAGTCTCTTTGAGTTGTTGTGGCATTATAACCTATAAGTACTGTAATCCAGCTAACTTTCAAATAGGCCAATTTTCACTTCTCTTCAATTGTTTAAGTTGATATGTTTTAGATTTAAATGTAACAATACACGTAGACATATGTGACGTGCATTTCTTCCGGTGTGAACCACTGCTCTTGGCCGTGTTGCTTCCGAGCAATCCATTTAAAATGTCGTTGGCTGCAACGTGCTCATTAGGTGGGTAATTTGAGCTGCTGTGCAATTTATCGCTGATAGTTTATGTAGCATACTGTGTGTACGGTTGTGTACTGTATTCATACTGAAATAAATCAATTCCAGTAATCAATGTCTGCTAATGTTTTTCTACCCGCAACGGAGAAGGTTGTAAGTCAGAACCGAGTTAGGGGTTGATCCATCCCAACTTGCCGCCGGGGTCAATACGTTCCGTACCATTTGGTGGGAAGTTCACCGTCTCGGCCTCTCCAAGGGAGATGAACGCCACACAATGTGACTTTGAGCATGTGGTCACTATTATTGTCTGTTGCACGTTTACCTAATAAAACTTTATTGAGTCACATAACACATTTCTAGGAGGGTCCTGCCAAGTTTTTTTTTTGCAGTGGGAGGCGATGATTGCTATGTATATTTCAACCGAGTAACTTTGGAACATTTTTGGATCATGTATTTATGTATGTTGAACTTATTTCGCACCGTATGTAGCCAACCGTGTTAATCGGAGTTGCGGGACCAACGACACCGGTACACAATGGCCTACTCTTACGAATGACGTGATGGGTCTTTAACGTCATCTGTGAAGCAGACTGTGTATACTTGTTGAGTTCTTTGCTTATTACACCCGCAGTAATAACCAGGGGCGCCCGCTTGGTTCGAACCTTGAACCGTTTGCAACAAGCGGCAAACCTGCTACCGCCCCCAAATACTAAGCTACCAAACACCGAGAAAATCAAAATTGTGTAATTGTATGACAACGTCGCCGAGTTAAGCAGGTTTAAGTCTGGAATGTGCTTAGATAAACGATTGCCCGTTAACGCACGTGTTGCCATAGTCAGTTGTGGGGCTTTGTGATGGGCAATGCATTATTGTACTATACTTCTATGTTTCCTGCATTCAGCAACCTGCACTGAACACAATGCTGAAGTATGTTCAAATAAACCCCCGTGAACCGTAATGCGTCGGACGGGGGGGGGGGGCTCATTCAGCAGTGAATTGACACAAATGTTGTGCATGTTCATTGTGTATTCACAAGGCAGAGTGATTGACAGGCGTATAAGCCCCGCCCTCTGTCATTCATCCAATTGGGGGTGGGGCCCATGAGAGGGGCGGGGCTATGGGGTGAATATCTCCACGTCACGTGATGACCCCGTTCCCAAGGCAACAGCCGGGCCATACAGACATGACGGCGCGGCAACGAGGTCAAGAGCTCGCAGCCAATCACAAGCTCCGCTCATAGCCCCCCGAGTCGGACCAATCGGAGCGCGCGTTCACAGTGACTCCACCCAATCAGCCGGGTTTCTTCCCCACTCCCCATGTGCAAGCTCGACGAATCAGAAACGAGCTTGTTGGTGTAATTTTGCCTTAAAACTTTCGTGACTGCAGGAAATCACATGACATTTTTAAATCATATTTTTTGGTTCTTTAGATAAAGTCACGTAGATTTATTTATTTATTTTTACTCACTTTATTTTTTTATTATTTTCCATCTACGTGACTTTACCGAAAGAACGTATGAGCAACGATACAAAATCAAGAGCGCAGCCGCCCGCCCTCCAATCCCGCGCCGTCCAATCAAAAGAAGCCCCTCGCGTCTCGCGCCGACCAATCAGAGCGCGGGTTCTTTGCCCCTCGCGGCCCACCCAATCAGAGGACGCGAGCCCTCGCGAAGGTCACGCGCGGGGACGAGAGGTTGCGCGGGCGCGTACTGCGCATGCGCGATGGGTCCCCCCCCCCACCACCCACCCCTTGCCCCCCACCCCCCACCGCACTGCTGCTGCACGCGCCGGGACGAGAGGTTGTGCGGGCGCGTACTGCGCATGCGCGATGGGTCCCCCCCACCCACCACCCACCCCTTGCCCCCCACCCCCCACCGCACTGCTGCTGAACGCGCCGGGGACGAGAGGTGTGGATCTGCGTCTCTCCCTTGGAGCTCTCTCTCTTATCTGTCTCTTTATCTCTCTCTTTCTCACTCTCAATCGTCTTGTTCCTTCATTCATTCCTTCCTCGTGTTGTGTCTCTCCATTCCGTGCCTCCAAGTGTGTCTCTCTCGTGTGTGTGGTTCGTACGGCCGTCGAATAGTCCGTCCTTGTGTGTGTCTGTGGTTCACGTGTTAAGAGTGTCATTGTGTCTCTCTGTAGTTCATCATTCTCTCTCACAGTCTCCTTGTGTGTCTTTGACAGTCTCCTTGTGTCTCTCTGTGGTTCCTGTGTGTCTGTCTCACAGTCTCCTTGTGGTGTCTCCCCGTGGTTCGTGTGGCTGTCTAAGAGTGAGTGTCCTTGCGTGTTCGTGTGATTCGCCGGTCTGCCTTGAATTTCTCACGAGTCTTATCTGTTTAACTTGTCGACATGTGTCTGTCTCCAGCGTCCTTTGCCTCTCATTTATCTGTGCCTCCGTGTCTCATCTTTATTATTTTGTCTCTTTGCATGGCTGTCTAGGTCTCATTCGTCTCATCAGGCTCTGTCTCATGTCTGTCTCCACGCCTCATTGCTTATCCGTCTCATCTGCCTCTGATTTATTTCTCTGTCCACCTGTTTATCCTCGTCTCGTTTGCCTCCTCCGTGTCTGTCTCACTGCGTGTTTGTCTCGTGTGTGTGTGTGTCACAGCATTGCATCGCGCTCTTGACTCTCAAGCCCCTCTGGGTGTGTCTCTCATCCTGTGTCCTTGTCGTCCACGTGTCTCCATGTGTCTCATGTACAAGATGGTATTCCTCGTGTGTCCCTACCACCCGTGTCCCTCCGTCACCGCTCGTCTTCCCGTCACCTCTGAGTCTCCTCTGGGCCGCACTGTCGCCATGTCTTCCCGTGGCTGCTCTGTTCGGCGGTGTCGCTTGCGTCTCGGGCTTTTGACGATGGGGAACATGGGGCAGGGATGGGGTCTCCCCTTATCCCCTTATCCCGGGGTTATCCCCTTATCCCGGGGTTATCCCCTTATCTCGGGGGTCTCCGAGGCTGGGAGCAGCAGGGGGGGGGGGCACGGGACAGTGGCGGCCTCCGTCTTTACCCCCCACGACCTTTGCTCTGCAACCCGCGGCTACTCTTTTAAAGGGGGGACACCTTGGTGGCGTTATTTATTAAGGGGGCCATCGTCTCGTATTCACATTGCATTGGCGGCATCTTGAAATATTGAAGATGCTTTTTTTGTGGTGGGTTTTTAAAAACATTTTAAACCGAAAAACTAACAAAAAAAATCTTCAGACAGAACCTCGACTTGGCGAGGCCGAGCCACTGTCAATGTCATCTACCACCCGACCCGGCTCGCTGTCGGCGGCCTCCTCAGTCGAGAACTTGCTCAGCTAATTGTGATTTCACGAGCGGCTCCCCTGGAAATTCGTCGCATGGCCGCCGTCTTTGACGCGGGCGACAAAGTCTCGAGGTGACGTCACGTGGGGGGGGGGAGGGGGCGGGGCGAGGGGAACTCTGCAGCGCCGGCCACGTGACCGTGACAGCTTGAAGCCAGGGAGCACGTGGGGAGGGGGTGGGGGCCCGCGAGGGGTCAAGGTGACCTCCATAGGAGGTCAAGGTGACCTCCATAGGAGGTCAAGGTGACCTCCATAGGAGGTCAAGGTAATCCGGTGGGGGTGGGTGTTAGGGGATTTCTCTAATCGTTAAGGTGACCCCCCCCCCCCCATAGAATCCTCCCAATGTCGCAACCTCTATTCTGACCTGTGAAAGGGGATCTCTGTCTGGATGATATCGCGGGAGGGAGGACGCAAGGCCTAAGGGTAACGCGCCCGCACGGTTGTAGGTGACCTTTCAGGGTATTAGGTGACCTTTCAGGGTTTTTTGTGTTAGTTTTGTTTGTGTGTTTGGTTTGTTGTCCTTCCCCGCGCCTCCGATGAGCACGGTTGGCTATGTACGGCGCGAAAGAAGTTCAACATACGTTACGCATCTTGTGAGCTACCGCGCCAGGGGTAACCTTCGAGGGCTGTCCTCTGCAGGGTGACTTTCAGACGTTGGAGGTTACTCGGTGGGTTTCATGGTGTGCGCGTTGGTGGAAAGCACTCTGGTGTACTGTATATGTGCGTGACGCGCTGAGATCTGCCACAGATGGGCAGCAGTGTTGGGGGGGGGGGGGGATTTACAGATGTTTGGCGCTTTAAATAGATCAGATATGCTGATAATGATGATTTGTGCCTGTCTACCTTGCCCAGAGCCACAGTCTAATCCACCAGCCTACCTGCTGTTCCTGAACCTGCAAAGATGTACGCCTGCGCTAAGCTCGTCTCCTGCCCAGCACTGGTGAGTTTCTGGGTGGTAGATGCGGTGGATGTGGTCGTGTGAGGGTGTTAGTCGCGCGAGAGCTCAGCCTGGCTGAAAGGAGAGACTCGTGTAAGCCAGGCAACGCCATCGATGTCACATTTAAAGGGCTGTCCCAGCTGGTTGGAGGGACGTCGCTTGTGGGATGGTTACTACTTCAAGCTTTATTCACAGTGTGTGGTTTAAACTAAGCACGTGCAGTTTAAGAGTTGACCTTGACTGCATGAAACACAGCAATGTATTTATACAACTCGGCGAGAGCACATGCACCGGTGACCGAATACTCGTTAAACGCTATTGAAAGTTACGAATGGAAATTAAAATGCACGCATTTGTTAAATTAATATCAACGCTCATTTAGACTTTGGCTTTCATGACTATGCCACTCCGTGGCTTGTTGCTAGGAAAATGACTGCACAATCATTCTGTTTGGCATTTTTTGTGCTTTGCATTTAGATATTGCACTTTTTTGTGTTAGACCGTATGTTTATTTTTACTTTTTTTAATTAAATATAACTTAAAGGATGTTGGTTGTTTTGAAACGCCTGAAGTATTTGTTCAGTGTTGACGTGTGTTGCATGGTGCTCGCGGTCGGCGAGGTGCTGATGGCGCTTGTCCATGTTGTGACTTGCAGGTCCGCGGTGGCTCCCAGGCTCTCCTGAGGCCCGTGACTGCGTGCCTCATCAGCAGGCCAGAGGCACGGTCCGAGGTGGGTGCCGTGCATCTCTCTCAAAGAGAGACCGGTTGCGCGACAGATGAGCTTTGTGTGTATTTTGTTGCTCATCGTTTCCATTAGCGCACCCTTGTGCGATGAAGAGTGAGGCAGAGGCTGAGAGTGGTGGTGGGTTTAGGTTGATGAGAGGAAAGTGTTGGGTGTACGTGCCTAGACGTCACATAGCAGCCATCCTCCATTATTCAAGCTAACTGTCTTGCTATACTCTTTGGTTCTTTTGGTAAAGTCGCGTAGGTATAAAATAAAATAAATCACGACGTTTCGATTGCAACACAAGCGAAAAAAATTATTGCTGTGGTTTTCCCACCTGATGATGATTGCTTGTGTTGCAATCGAAACCTCGTGCTTTATTTTCTACCTACGTGACTTTACCGAAAGAACCAAAGAGTATGGATCCCTGCAGTCACGAAAACTTCCAATCTGGATTGTCTATTGCTAGTTCTCCACGGCATCTCAATCTCTGCCAGCCACCAGGGTCCATTGCCATTCCCCTGCTCTCTGGCACCCACCAGGTGTCCGAGCAGAGGACAAATGGTGGACAAGGTCAACCAAAGAGAAAGGGACACGTTAGATTTTAATGACATCTTACAGGACCGTACGTAAAAAAAACAACGAATGCTTATCTTTTGTTCACAGCAAGTCCTCTCTGATCCACAATCTTGACACAATCTCTCTAAATAGATTCTACAGTTCTACCACTGAAAACGTTAAATCTTAGGATAATCTGGGTATATGGCTCGATTCCTACCTGAACATTGGTTCATATATTATAACAACAAAACAACTCTCTTATAAATAAAAACACAAGTTGGCTTTTTTCTTTATAAGTCTTGTTCCTCGCGTTCTACTTGCATCAGCTCGTCACCTCCACCTTCATGCCTGCAATTGATTATGGAGATGTGATTTAGAAATCTACCCCACAGCACAGCTCTGAATAGCCTTGAGCTTTTATGCTAATTGAGGGTCGCACTGTATATCAGTGCGACCTCTACTCTTAATCTGGTTATCTTGCATCATTCCAACAGAGAAACCTAACATTTATTATCTTTCCAAAGCAATCCATATAGATGTACCCCCATAAGATGAACTGTCTTGCTTATTCCAGATTGCAACTTTTGCAATTTAAGATGAAAAGCTAAAAGGTACCAAAAGTTTGTACAGATTTTGGGAAAATGCTCATTCATTCACAGCACTGGATTTCCATGGGACAACCTGGCACCCTTAATGCAGTGAACATATCCCCTATAAATTGCTCTTCTAAATTAAACTGGAAACCCTGTTTAGAACGTTCTGAGTGTCATTTCGTTTCTTATAGCATTTCTACCTCGGTTTATTTGAATTGTATTCTGTTGATGATGAAGTTAATATTTATTAGTGTTTTATATGAGGTGATATGCTATGCATTAAAATAGATGTTCTCACTTGGTTGCATTTATTTATGAATACCTCACTTGATATGAATTCGTTTTATCCAATTGGTCCACCATTCTCCTCTCCCATTATTTTTACCCAAGTCTCCGTTATAAAAGAGACACAGGTTCTTACTTGGCGAATAAAAAACAAGGAGGATGATGATGATAATGATTACATGACCCCAATAGTCACCGAGCAGTCTGGGAGAGAGAACCTCGTGGAGATGGTGAACCGAAGGGATGAGAGACATGTGACCCGTACGCTGCAGTTTGGACTTTCATTTCGAAGCTCAGAATCATGTTAGAGTGGTGAAGTGAGAGCGGACATGATAATTGGTTTTTTACCCTTCTATCTGGCAACAAAACTGACACCTTTTTTATAAGGAGTCATGTTTGCATAGACCACAATACCTGCAGCCATAATGCAAACAAAAAACATAACTCTGATAATGTATGCACTGTCCTTGAAGTTGATTGGTCCACACTCGAGACAGCTTTCCTTAGAGCCTAGTCTCACATGGGTTGGACCAGATGACGCATATATTATCAGAGTTATGTTTTTTGTTTGCATTATGGCTGCAGGTATTGTGGTCTATGCAAACATGACTCCTTGTAAAAAAAAAAGTGTCAGTTTTGTTGCCAGATAGAAGGGTAAAAAACCAATTATCATATTTTTTACTGGCAAATGAAGTTTCAATGAGAGCGGACATGTCAGAGATCGAGCAGTAATGTTCTAGACTGACTGTGGTGATGCTGCGTACATCCTCCCGCTTCTCCCCCAGGCCTTGTTCCCGGCGGTGCAGCACCAGGGAACGTTGGTGCACGCAGCACAGCGCTCGTTCCAGACGAGCGCCGTCTCCCGTGACATTGACACGGCCGCCAAGTTCATCGGCGCTGGTGCAGCCACAGTGGGTGTCGCCGGCTCGGGTGCTGGTATCGGCACCGTCTTCGGGAGTCTCATCATCGGCTACGCCAGGTGCCTCTCCCGGCCTGCATACGTGACGATACAGCCTTCGTGGCTGAACTTTCAACACTCTCAGCCTCTAACATCACCACTCTTAGCCTCTAACATCACCACTCTTAGCCTCTAACATCACCACTCTCAGCCTCGAGCATCGAGACCTAGCACGGTGGGCTGTGCTTTTGCCTATAATCCGCTGCTCTGGAGCCGTGAGACTCCCAACCAACTGGGCTACAAGGTGGCCGGTAGATGGAAGTACAGCAAGTAGTGGGGTCTAGATATGGTCTGCAAATGTTGGGTGTTAGCCTCTCATCGGCCTGGGTAATGTTCGAATGTTATTCTACTTCACAGATGAAACATCCCAATGCTGGACCGTCTTTAAAAGGAGCATTTACATAGTCAGGGTTTCTTAGAAGAAAGTAGCAATTTTATAATTTGCTTGGTATCTCTGCTTTAAACATGCATTATTAATGGTTCCTCTACCGTATTCAATTTATTTTGAAATGCTAAGCATCTACTTCCCTTTCTGTCAATCCACTGCTGGATGAATCTGCTCACCACACCATCAAAGTCCGTGGGTGTTATTTGACCATACTTCACACTGGTCAATTGTGGGTAGGTGGAGGCAGGGAGCAGAGAAGTGGGTGCTTCGGAAGTAGAGTACACCCAATGGATGTTGCTGCACTGCCCTTTGCTGCCCATAATGCAGCCCCTTGGTAGCCCATAACAACCTAACACGCGTGGTCGTCGCCCACTCTCCGGGCACCCTCCAGGCTCAGTTTTATATTCCGAGATCTGATGAGGTGTGGCGCATGCTGCGAGTGATCAAGTGACGGGCGAAATCCTGAACGGTGCCGCAGTGATCTGCGGTTCGCTTGTCGTGCATGCCGGCTTATTGTTAACGACGCGGCCGTTGTTTTCGCAGGAACCCGTCTCTGAAGCAGCAGCTCTTCTCGTACGCCATCCTGGGCTTCGCCCTCTCCGAAGCCATGGGGCTCTTTTGTCTCATGGTGGCCTTCCTCATCCTGTTTGCCATGTGAAGTGGGTCAGACCACCACGACCCTCCATGGCTCTCTGCTGCTGCTGCTCTCACACCGGTGCACACCTTGTCTCTAGCTCGTGTGTGTAAGACCACATGAGCCTCCACGAATAAATACGTTTAAATTTAATGGCTGTGTGTGGTGTGTGTGCTCTTCTTCTTTTTTTTATTAAATGCCTGCTAGGCGGCAGTCGAACATTGCATGTGTGATGTTACTACTCTGTGTGTTAGATTAAATATTCAATATATGTTATGTTGGAATCAGGAGTTGGGGATGGCTATAAGACTATCACGTTGAATGGTGTTGAGTTTGGGTTGTGTTGTGGTGTGGGTTGGAGTTGTTGAAATGTGTCTAGTGGGATGGTTTAATGGTTTATGAAGTTGGGTTGTGTTTGGATGAGTGAGAGTTGCAGTGTGGAGTGGGTTTAAGCTTGTTGTGTGGAATGGGTTGTGCAGGGGATTAGAATTGTCGGAGTGGGCTAGGATTGTGGTTGAGGTGGGTTAAGGTTGTGGTTGGTAAGGGTTAAGAGTTTGCATTGGAGGGTAGATTAAGGTTGTGGTTGGCATGGGTTGTGATTGAGGTAGTTAGGTTTATTGTTGGAGTGGAAGAAGTTTGAGGTGGGTTAGGGTTGTGTTTGGGGTGAAGTAGTTCTGTGGTTGAGTTTATACAATTTACCTATCCAGGAAAGCCACCGAGTCAGAACTTTTTTCAGGAGGGTTCTAACATTGGGTTGTTAATGTTTTCAGACATTAAGTGCCGATAGAAGTGGGAGGAAACCAGAGCACCCGGCAGAAACTCACGTGTGCACGAGGAGGCACCTCTCTATCCCCATACAGATGGAAACGGAGATAATTCCACTTGCCGTACTGGCTTCAACTGGCGGGCCAGTGTATGGCACCTCGACGCGCACAGGAAGGGAGTTTCACACCACGTGCGATCCACCGACCCTCGCCTCCACAGTTCTGGATTAGAGGTGTGCGCCCCCGCCGCCCGGATAGAAATTGGTTGGGGTTGTGTGATGTGGATTATGGCTGTGATATGAATTGTGGTTGGGGTGAATTTCCTCATGGGTGTCCATACTTCTGACAGTTTATGGGTGTCCATACTTCTGACAGTTTATCTTGACAACGTAACACCACGACCGCAGGTGCTCTTGGAGGTAATGCAAGAATCGCGTCTGCCGTTGTTACGCGATGCCGCATCACGGGCACCTTCAATGAGCACGGTTAGCTACGTACGGTGCGAAAGAAGCTCAACATAGGTACATACAAGCACTGACTTTTAATCCACGTGGCTGTCGACTAGTACTTCACTGCACGAGTGGGGGGGGGGGTATGATAGGCCAGCCTGGCATGGTGAAGCCCAGTCACCCATTGTACACGTCTGAGTGAAACTGCTGTGTCTGGGGACGTCGGCAGGGGGGGCGACTGAGCAACTTGGTTCTGCTAGTGGTGGGGAACGTGCTGCCCGCGGGCCGTATAAGGCCCCGCGAAATCATTTGGTCTGGATCTGCCAAGGCAACCGCAGGCGGGACTCGAAATTCAATAAATCTAGGAGCAAACCTGGAAAAGCAGTTGCGAGTAGCAACATCATCAATACCAGCTAACATCACACGCCTCGCCAAAGAAAAGCAGTTCCAGCCATCGCATTAGGGGTGAGTTAATTCAATGTTTGACCAAATATAGCGGGCAAATTTTTAAGTTGATAATGTTGTATGGCCCGCGAATGATGTTATAAATATCCAAATGTCCCTTGGCAGAAGAAAGGTTCCCCACCCCTACAAGGAGCAGCCCACCCAGACTTCCTGCAGACCGCCTGCTGCCTGGTCCACACAGGACTTAGAGCGTGTACGTATTAAGGGCCGTCCATAAATGACGTCACGCACCTAGGGGGGGGGGGGGGGTCAGACATTTGTGACGAGGGGGGGGGCTTGAGAAATGTGACGCCACATCAAAATGCGAAACTTTAAATAAATATAGACAACGCGTTCTACTGAATTAAATAGACTTTTTAATAAATGTTTTCTCCTACAACATCAGAGTGCAGCGCCACATTAAATACGCACTACAATGACAATAGTTTAAAGCGATTTGAAGCATGTTTTATTTGGGGGGGGCGGAGCATTGTGACGTAATATTTGAGGGGGGTCGTCCAAAATCGCGTGACGTCATTTATGGACGACCCCTTATATATATTGAACTTTTTTCGCACCGTACGTACGCAACCGTGTTCATCGTAGGTGACGTTGGGGGTGGACAACAAACACAAAAAGCATGGGAGTTGTTGCTCATGACTAGTGTCTCGTGTCTACATTTGGCCACAGTTCTCCAGCCTTGCTGACGAAAGTGCAGTTCACTTGGCTCTATTAACCTTTACTTAAGCAATCAATATGCCCGTAATGCAGATTGATTTCTCTAATGTGCGGTTAAGTGCCGTTGCCAACTCGCGTGTAAGAGTTACGATTGCGAGTTGCTGGCCACGTCATAAATATGTGTGGTTTTTAATAACCACCTATATTTCTTTGAAGGTCCGAGTATTAATGCGATGCAAGTAATTTTTATTCACAGTTCTTGCCGAGACACCACCCAAAAACCAGTCGCAGCCTGAATGGCAATTGCTGGCAACCCCAAAGTGCCTAGTGGTGGCAGCATTGTTTTTCTAACGATGACATAGCCCATCAAAAATCAACATGTCATGATGTTTATAAGAAAACAACTTTGTCCTAGGGCTTGCAGGGATACGTGGTGGGCCGTAGAGGGCAGTGCAGTAAAATATATTGCGTCGTATGTTTGCATCTACATCTATGGTCCCCGCTTTCACAAACCAGTATCGATCAACGTCGTGGGTGACTGAAGTATGATAGAGCAATCCCCATGATGTACATGGTATGGAGAGGCCCTCATCCAGCAGTCGATTAATATAAGTGGCTGTGCATGTTTACACATGAGACCACTCTGCTTTCCTCCGACAAAATACCAAAAAAAAACTGCCCTGAATTCTAGGACAAGATCCTTCTGAAGGGGGAGAGTTGATAGGTGGGTGAGGCTTTTTGAAATGGAGATTTCAAATTTGCTGGAAATGTTAATTTTCTTGAAACTGGAGCCCATGGCTCGCTCTGTTCGGCATTGGTGGGAAGACGTCGCTGTTGATTTTCACTCAAAATCTCTGAAAAAGAGCTTCACTGCTCATTGGATTCCTCCAGTCTAGAAGATTCTGATTCGGAAATGCATACGATGGTGCAATCGCCAATTTAGCTGTTCAGTATCATCTCATTATATATATACATCACTAGAAAAGGACATTTACTTTAAAATAACTTGTGAATCTCTTGCAATTGTGCGTGAATGTTAACGTTATAAGAAACCTCTGAAATCTCATTAATTTTTCACCGAAAAATAAACTTGACGGTTTCTTTAAAGCCATGCAGTATGCGGAATACATTTATGCAGACGGCTGCTCTCAAAAAAATATAATCCTGATCTGTAGACCGTATCGAGAAGGATACTTATTTTATTTATTTATTTACATCACAATTCCAGGCTTTAAATGCCACGTTTTATCTCTTGCTTACAATGTCATTTTGTTCGTCATGAAGAGAAACGGACAGATAAGCTGTGAACATGAACAGTGGGGAAGAGGGGGGTATATAACATTTTCGGGATCAATTAGCTCGTCGCTGCTGCGGAATCGAACATTAAAATTCATCTAGAGATTCCATCCTGGCAAGTGTCAACATTTGCTACAACCCCCCCTCCCCCCCCATACCATTGCTACGTTTCACAACTGGCTCGAGGCCCCCAGAGAAGTTTTCATCATCTCCCCCCCCCCCCCCCCCGTGACATTACACGGGCAAGCGGGAGCTCCTCGTGTGGAAAGGATGGCCCAGAAAACCAACGTCCTTCCTTGGTCGTGGCTCTCGCGAGCCCGGTGACCGACCGCAGTACGGAACGTATTTCGCGCAAATCCGGGCGGCAGTGTGGGGTCCGCTGACTGCTGCTCGTGGCGGGTGGGCGGGCAGGTGGTTTGCAGGTGATGTCAGGATCAGAATCCTTATTTAGACTGGAGGAGGAATCCAATGAGCTGTGACACTTTTTTTCTTTTACAGATGCCCAGAATGGGCGGGTCAGCAAGTTACAACAGCAAACAATATTTTTAAAAAACCCTGATAGGAGTGAAATATTGAGAAAGAGGCAAGCAAGTGACTCAATAATACATTCATTATTCATATACCTGCGATCAAACTAAACAAATATATATTACTACGTAGCTATTTTTCTGAAGCGACCTGGCCACAAATGATAGCTCAACGAAGTGGCTTTTGTGGAAATTTACAGCAGACAAATTCTGCAAACGCGTGTTGTTGATTCTAAATGTGGACGGAAAACCCGGAGCACCCGGAGAAAAATCCACGCGACCACAGGGAGAGAAAGAGACACGCAAACTCCAACGATAGAGCAGGCATCAAGGTCGGGATTGAACCCACGACCTCCCGTATACCAAGCGAGATAGTTAACGTCTCACCACCGTGGCGCCCCAAGCTTGGGCAAGGCAACAAAAACAACAACAACAAAACAGTCCCAGATCACACGAGCGGTTCCCATCTCGCGTCTGACAAGATGCTCGCGAACCCCGCGGGGTCGCCGTGAAGAGCGCCATCGCTTGCAAGGCGTCGGGTGGCGTGTGGGGGAAGACGATGCAGCGTTGTGAGCTGCGGCTGAGCGATGTCAGCTGGGGTGAGCCCCAGATGACAGCGCTTCTTTGGGGTTTCCGTGACGGTGTATTACTTTGCCGCCATTCTGCGTGATAAATAGCTGTTCTTAGATAATTATATATGCTTTAATGTGTCGTCCATTAGCCAGGCGAGGGCTTTTACACTATGAGACCTCCTTTACAAGTGGCAAAATATAGTAATACTTTTTACCCTTTCAACTGGTACAAAAACTGACACCTTTATACAAGGCATCATGTTTGCAATAACCACAACACAAGCAGTCAAAATGCAAACAAAAATAAACAACTCTGATGGCGTCATCTGGTCCAACACCAATGGAGACTCGGCTCTAAGAAAAGCTCTCTCGGGTGTGGACCTATCAACTTCAAGGACAATGCATATCATTATCATCATCAGA